CCAAACCAGTCTGAGATTCTGTGAACAGGACAGGAAGCTTCTCCAGCAGTTCGCTGGGCCTCGTCACTCAGGAAAGGAAGTGGTAGCTGGGAGCCTTCAATTCTGGCCTGAAACCTCTGACTTGGCTTCACCAAAACCCCTTGGTGTTTGGACTGTGCCGATAAAAGGAGGAGGGAGCTGGAGGTGGAGTCTCGATTGTGTTTTCTTGCTTGAAAAGGTGCTAAGCTCATGTTCTTCTTCCTGGCCTTGCCTCCCAGATGGTGGGAATTGGAACATCGGATGTGAATCTGGACAAGTACCGCCACACCTTCTGCAGCCTTCTGGGCAAGGACGAGGACAGCTGGGGACTCTCCTACACAGGTAATGCGGGCAGAGCGGTGGCAGAGGGCAGGATGGCCGGAAGGGCAGCAGTGGCATAAGTGTTGCCCTAAGGAGTTGATAATTAAATGGTCTGAATGGGATTGAGACCAAAAAGGCCACCAGACCCGAGAGTCCCTTCGTTGTTGGCAACTGGAGTGGCTGCCTGCAGCTCTTGAAGCATCTTGCCTTGCCTGCATTTGGCAGACCCCTTAGAACCTCCAGGGCAGCTGGGCTGCCAGTCACTAAGGGGGAGTTTCAGTGCTGCTGCCTGCACTCTGCTGTTACAAACCCTCGAGTTTCCCCTTTTCATTACCTGCTCCGGGGTGGGAGGGCAGGGATCAGGCAACGGAGGGACCTTCTAGGCACAGAGTGAGGCTGCACCAGCGGGAACTTGCAGTGTTGGGATGAATTCATGGAACGCAGGCTTTCCACTGAAGGCCAGTTGGTTTGTTTTCAGGACTACTGCATCACAAAGGAGACAAAACAAACTTCTCTTCGAGGTTTGGCCAAGGATCCATCATTGGGGTGCATTTGGACACGTGGCACGGGACACTCACGTTCTTCAAAAACCGCAAGTGCATAGGTAAGAGCCAGGGCAGCCACAATGGCCCGCAGGCAGCGCGCCACGCAGCTTTGTCTGAACCCTGTCTGGCTGCTGGAGAAAACGCCGGCCAAGGGTTAGGCCAATGCGTGATGTGAGCAGGAGGAAGGTTACATTTGTTGATTGGGATTCCAAGAGGCTGTTTTCCAAGCACTTTCCAACAGTTAATGGGTTCAGGGTAGCCGAGAGGAGCGAGGTGACTGTGTCAGAACTAATGTGACCCCCCCCTTGATGCTGTCCCTGGCAGGGGTTGCTGCTACGAAGCTGCAGAACAAGAAGTTTTACCCCATGGTGTGCTCGACGGCAGCCAAGAGCAGCATGAAGGTGATCCGCTCCTGCGCCAGCTGCACGTCCCTCCAGTATCTCTGCTGCTTCCGCCTGCGCCAGCTCCTGCCCGACTACGTGGACACGCTGGAGGTGCTGCCGTTGCCGCCAGGACTCAAGCAGGTGCTACACAACAAACTGGGGTGGGTCTTGAGCATGAACTATAGCACATCGAAGCCTTCCTCCTCCTCATCAGGAAGCGACTCAGACAGCTCCTGTGGCTCCGACGCAGAGGCCTGCCAAAGGAAGAGGTGCAGGAGGACATAATATCTCTGCAGACAAACTGCTGTGAGGGAGTTTGGTTTTGCGCTGCCGTCTGCAAGGGCCGTCCAGGCCTGATGCACCTCTCTCTTCATGGGGACTTCCACTGCTACGTTTGGGAAGATTTCTCTTACTCCAGTGGAAATCTTTAGCCTGAGCATCCATCCCATGCATTGAACAGACCTGTAGGCTTACAGAGGTCCCAGCTCAGTGAAACAGGTAGGCTGCAGCCCCGTTTCCGAGCTTCATCTCCTGACTTGCTGTCAAAGCTGTCACCTCTTCCTGAAGGATCCCTCTTTGCAGAGACAAGATTGAAGGTGGCCTCCCGTTTTCAAAGCACTCTAGACTATGATAACAGACTTGACTCGTCAAAAAGCAAGAATGAAAGATCAGTCCCCTCCTCCCACCTCTTGCGTGTAGGTTTGGTATCTGCGATGAACTGGTCACACTGTGAGGCACTATCGAGCAGCAGCACGTAGGGGAACGGGCTCACAGCTCGGTGCTGTGAAGGAGCAGTTACGTGCACGGGTTGAGCTGTTGGTGATCTTTTTCGAGCCCCTGATGACTCTTAATTGCTTTGCATGTTGGCTCCTGCTGCTTCTCCTATATCGAAGACTGTATTAAACTGTAATAATAAAAGTAGAAACTGTTACTTGTTTCTCTTATGGCCACTGAAGGCAGGAATCTGAAGGCGTTGTTTGTCAAGAACAGCCGTGTTAGGAGGGCTCCCAGTCTGGTTTGTCAGATGCAGAGACGACCTTGCCTCTGCCCCAGGAAGGGTTCTTGCGCTTCTCGCTGTAACACCAGCCTGGCTGGGATGGATCCTCCACAGAGTGCTGGAAGGAGTCCTGACAGGTTACACTGGGACAAACAAACCCAACCCCCCATCCCAGAGCCTGAGAACCGGTGTGGTGTCTGTGCCCAGAACAGCCCCTCCTCACGACTTCTTGGTCGTGCCAAGGGGAAACGGTGGGTTAGAGCCTGGGCCAGCGACTGATGCTGCAGTGGCCTGGTACCGCTGCCAGCAAACGGCAGGCAGGAGAGCCTGCCTGCACTTGCGCATCCGAGCTACCCTTGGATTTGGGGCAGGAGAGAGGAGGGGAAAGCGCTTCAGCTGCTCCTTGGAGGTGAGGACACGAGCGCTGGCTGGGAACAAACCACAGCAAGAGGAGGGCTTGAGTTCTTCGGCAGCTCTCGCTGCCCCGCTTGCATCGTGCTGTGAGACAGGCTGGCTCCGGGGACCAGCCCAGAGCCGATCCGGGTTCAACGGCTATGTTTGGCACCTCCACTTCCTCCTGCCCCTCGATGCTGAAGCAGCACGCAGGCAGGGATGGGAGAGGCACGGTTCCATGTGCTCATGGCAGCAGAACCACGCAGGGTCTGCCACTCCCATGGGACTGGAAGCTCTAGCCGCTGCCTCCCCCCTGCTCCTTTCACAGCCCCTCAAAGGCTCCGGTAGAGCTTTTTGCACCATGCGCGTTTACACCCCGTGACTTCCCTTCCCACGTCCCCAGTCTGTAAGCGAAGCTCTTGCTTCTCTGGTGTCCGGCGTTGAGTGAGACCCTTAACGAAGCAGGACGGGCTCTGTCCATGTGCTGCAGCCAAACAGCCTTGCTGGCTGCACCTGCCCAGGAGCTAACGTGGGTATTGGCAGAGGGAGGCAGGAGGGTCACTGGCGAGGACGGTGCCCGCCTGCTCTGCAGCACCAGTTGCCGTTGCTTTGAGCCAGTGAGCTGTGGTTCATGGGAGGAAGCTCAGGGCTTTCTGTGTTACTGTGGAAGGCCCCAGTTAGCATTCCCAAAACCTTGGGAACTTGGGAAAAAGAGAATCCCATCCTAACCCATTATTTCCCATGGAGTTTTCTGGAGCTTATCTGGCATTTCCTCATGTTGGGAGTTCAGTCAAGTGGCTGTCTCAGTGGAGCAGCTGATCCTGTGCTGCTCAGGGACCCAACACTAACACATCCAGCCCATTCCAAACGTTCCTTAGCTCTCTTAGGAGACAACCAGCTTTCCAGCCAGTGGGATACAAAGCTGGGGCAGCTAAAAGAGGAAAGGAGAGCCAAGAGGCCAAAGAAAGCATCTGTAACAAGACATTTATTGATGTGCAAGTCTCTGTTCTGAAGCCGAATCAGCTGCTTCCCCTGGCTGGGCTCCCAGCAGTGCTGCCATGCCAGCAGCTCAGCCACTGCCCAGCCTTGGCTGACCGACAGCCCGCGGTCCCTCTACGTGCTCAGGTCCAGGACAAGGTCGGGGTCGGTGGATACCATGAAGAGGTAGATGCGGCGGGATAAGTCTGGCCCAACGCGGCGGTCCTTGCCACTGACGTCCGATTTGACCAGGATGTCACTCAGCAGGAGTCGTTTTTCATCTTCTGTGCTGCACTCTTCGTAGGCCTTTGAGCACACAAGAGAAGGAAGCAGTTAGCACAGATGCTCTAAGAGAAGACTAATCTTCCCTGCAAGGTTCAATCCTGTCATTACAGTGAAGATCCAGGACTGAGCCTTCATCCAAACATACCAGGATCAGGGGATAAAGCTCAGAAGAAACAAGATCTGTCACTTGCAAACAGACTTCACACACAGAGTTGTGTGTTGCCCCTCCAGTATAGAGTAAGAGAGCTGTGAAGCCACTTCTTCTGAAGAAGCTATGCTAGAGACCTAAAGTCCAGGGGAAGAAAAAGGAAAGTATTTGACTACATGAGACTTTTTAAAAGTTCTGTCACAGTTCCTGATCTAATGGAAAGAGTTTGTGATTAATGCTCACAAAGACAAGCACTTGCTGATAAAAACGTGACTTTGTAAATTGGCTGAACTGCAGTCAGAACAGTCAGGCAGCACCCTAATCTAATCCTGCTCCCCCAACACCTCTCTGAGCCAGTCTTGCTAGGGAAGCTGCAGGAAGCTAGGGAGAGGGAGAATTTAGTGAGCTAAATCAACTCCCTGAGGGATGAGATGACAGAAGAGCAAGGTATGCCACTGGTAAGCAGCGAGAGAGCTCATGTGTCCTGTGGAAATCCCTCACAACCCGTAGGGGTGACGTTTTCTGCTTGATGTACAGCTGTCAGCTCAGGGGCTGAACAGCAGCCCCCTGAGACATCACCCATTTCAGACAGGACAGACCACGTGGGCCAAGGGCAGCGGGATGAACGCAGCCGGCCCTCAGCTGGGGTGGGCAACCAAACGTGTCGCCAAGCAAAAATGCAAAGACGCTTTGGGCAGGACCTGCAAGGTGAGACCAAGGCAGAGAGCGGCCTGGAAGGGCTAAGAGGAAGGGTAAGCTACGGTGAAACAAAGCTATGGTTCAAGTCACACACCCATCTGAGACAAGCCTTGCCTTTCTGGAGGGCTGACTTCACGCTCATGGCTTGTTTGCTGCACCAACAGGGACCTTCAAGCGAGCGGCACTCCTCCCTGCCCCCATCCTCCAAGCTGTTAACAGGACACCGAGGGGTTTGAGGCCTTACCTGTAACAGGAGGCGTGGGGAGGGATACGCTTCCGCTATAGCTGCTGCCGTTGCAGGGCTGACTCTGTTAAACTGCTGGATTTGTCTCTTCCACACCTGCCAGAGTCCTGTGCCGTCCTTCTCCACTCGCACCCCGCTGGCCCAGGCCCCGGCAGGGCAGAAAGGCAACTCCTGCTGTGACTCCAGCTGTCTCCTGCAGAAGGACAGGCTGCTGAGAGCAAGATCTGGGGCCGGTGTGTGCACTGAGCGGAGGCCTGCACACCCCAGACGCTGCAGCCTTCCTTGAGCATTACACAGTGGGCTTCCTTCTAAAACCTTTTTCTGCCCAGGACTAATATTTTCTTTCCTTCCCTGGAAAGGTCCAGAACACCTTGGTGAAAAGGTTTGCCTAAGGCTGTCATTTTTCCTCCTTTCCTAGTGCCGAATCACACTGCGTTCACCACGAGAGCAGAGGCTTTTCATTACCACAGAGACTGAAAACGATCTTGAGACACACCTAGCCCAGGCTCTTCACCGATGGCATCAAGGACAGGCTGGCAGCCAGTGACAGATGTTCCTGTAACTTCCACTGAGGTTTCCCAAAGCTCTGGGCTTGGGACGTGACCGAGTCCAGCGCCACGACTCACTTGTACGGACGTTTTGCTATTGCCTTCGTCAGCGCAGAGACATGCTGGCCGAATTCCTGCCACGTGTCTAGGAACAGCACGTCGATGTTACCCCACAGCTGCAGCACCACCAGCGCCTGGAGGAGAAGCAACAAAGGGGAAACACGTAACACACCAAACAATGGGACAGAGATGGGCTCAGCAGGGCCAGCCATGAGCCAGGACGGCCCAAGGCCCTCGCAGCCCCTCGGCTAGTAGCCCCCTGGCCACCAAGGATACCCAGTGACAGGAGCAAGGAAAGCATACGGCAGGACACATCCCTTGGCAGGATGAAGCTGGGCTGTGGCTGGAAGGGGAGGGAGGCTGGGCTGCCTGCATTAGCTCTATTTACACAGTGCTGCAGTAAAGCCCGCTCATCCTTCTTAGTTCCCCATAAGCCAGAGTCATAACCCCCTTCGAGGCATACTCAGACAGGGCAGGAATTTACTTCAAGAGACATCAAGCAGGGGTTTAGATGGTACGTGACCTAGTTTCTGACTGCTGTGGCATCAGAGGGAGCATTCCGGCTCTGCTGTGGGACACAGGCTCTGCAAGACTGAGACCTGAGTGAGACCCAACAGCTCTTTTCACAGCTAACGGGGCAGTTCTTGGTGGGGCTGGGGAGGTGAGGCTGGATCAACTCTGACCCAGGACCTCAGGAACAAGAGACTCCAGACCATGCCTCCTCCTCAATCCCATCTCCTCCCATCCTTCACGATGCACGCGAATGCAACCTGATCCAAGCCAGCCACCCTGGCAACGCATTCCTTGCACACACGAGCTCACCAGTGGGGGAGCCTTTCCTGCACAGCCCAACCTCAAGTAACATAAAAATTCAAGGAGTGTAAGAAGTTTTACCTCCAGAATCTCCTCCTGAGTCATAGCCAGCTCTGGGCCAGGCTGGGACCTGGGACTCTGCTTGCCAGGGCTCAGTGCCTGCTGCCTGCCCTGCTCCTGGTTACACCTGTGAGCAAGACAAGACACGCTGCTCACACACAAAATTTACACATTCACACCTCAGGGCTGCTGTCTGATAAAGAGGAAAAGGCCAGACCTAACCCACCCACACCTGCTACCTCCCAGTCTGATGTGATGCTGAAGACAAAGGTGTTGAGCCACTGTGTTCCTATGGTGGCAAAACTCTACAGGCCACAGCTGGGGTTTTTTAATTTGTAACACTTGGTAAAATTCATCCTCATGCACTTAAGGGAGAAAGAGCCCAGGAGGTGATGAGACATGAGTTCTCCCTGGGACATACTCCAGACAGGACAGAGAGAGCTACTGTAGCTTCGTCTAGGCAGGGAGCTCTGGAAGTGATCACACCATCACCACGGAGCAGAGACCTCTGCCCTGCACGTACGTGGACAGGAAGGACCCAGATACTGGGAGCAGCATACGAATGAGATATTCAGGGGACAAGAACAGGGCTCCAGGCATGGAACATGTCCCCCTGCTTTGTGAGCTGCACACAGAGCTGGGAACAGAAGGGCAGTTCCTCAGCTCTCCCGCATCACTGCGGCCCTCCGCCTGGGCTACAGGGAGAAGTCTTACCTGTGAGCCCCTTCTGGCTAGCAGATCTGCAGGGGCTGCTACAAAACACCCTCAAGACTGCAAACCCCAAGCCCTGGCCCTCACAAACATGGACTGTGTTATTCACTGGCAGCAAGCATCAGCAGATCAACCCCAATCGTGTCCCCCCTGCAGACACGCTGACCTCCACCCACCGCAAGCTTCCCCCACATACCTGTAGGCATCCAGCCCGATGACGGCCAGGCTGTAGGTTTTGGTGGAGGAGCCCTCCACGCCGGCCAAAGGCAACACTTGGTTCAGGTCAGGCTGACTCGCCGATGGGGCGTTGACAAAACTCTAAAGGAAGACATACCACAGCCAAGTCTGCAGCAGCCTTCCTTTCCCAAACACCCCCCACCATCTCTGGCAAGACAGCAGGGCCTTCCGAGGCGTATCTGATCAGTGGGAACAGGCAGGAGCCAGCCTCAGACTGCAGCCAGGAGTGCTGCCTTTGGGCACGCACCGCATGCCGCTTCTGCCAATATCCCGCTGCTGCTTCTGGCTCACCTTTTTCCCTGGAGCGTTAGCACTGTTCTCCTCACAGACACTGCCTATCCTAGCCTGCCATTCTCTAGCCTTGGATGGGGCTGGATATACTGGGAACTTCTCAGGGCAGAAGCACAGGCTGCCTAGACAGGTATAAATAAAATGTTGTAGGACTGCACACAAATGAGAACTAACACAGATCTCTCCACTTCGAAATGCAGGTGTTTCCAAGGGCGTTCCACTCTGAATGTTGCTTTCAAGCACATTTTTTTATGGGCTCCATAAGAATGGAAAAGCTAAATGCAAGAAAGGCAAGTCTAGCCTGCCCAGTTCCCCTCTAAGGCAAGCAGCATCCTCTCCCGGTGTTAACGGCAGGTTCCCGCGTACCATCCCTGAAGCCCTCCTGCTGTAGCTTCTCCCATGTGTTATCTCCTCTCAAACCACCACTGTCTGTAACACAACTTTGTTTTGGGGTGGAGCAGGGGCAGTTTTGAACGAACCCTCCCTCCTCTTCCATGTTCACCTGGCAAAGTGACTGCTGTAGAGCACTTTGTATGGGTCTGGCTCAGAGATCTGTATCACCTGGGATAGGGAAAAGAGGTGCTGGAGAAAATCTTCCGGCTCTACCAACACCAACACCTCTTTCTCCTCTTCAGTCTTCACCACGGGGCCATCCTGAAGAAGATGAAATAATTTCCAACACAAGCAGGGGTGCAGCATGAAAGCAGACAGTGAGTCTTCACTGGCGCAGAGCCCACCCTGTAAGAGGCACCAACACTCACAAGGCTCTGTCAGCACTAGGCTGCTGAAAGACCTAAAAGGTACAAACCCTGCCCAGACAAGCAGATCACGGCCGGTGCGAAGGCAGGCCGGCGAGCAAGGAGTGACAACTGCAGAAGCTGCCAAGTAGGATGAAAGGACACAAAACGGCCTCGCCTGCACCGCACACTATTAGTTGCCCACGCTGTCTGCACCTACGTTATCCCCAGACTATTCTATGACTACAGTATCTGTAGTGTTTTATCCAGCAACAGCAGAAGTGGCGTTCTGCCTCTGCCTGAAACTCCTGGAGCGGGGGTGATCACGAGGACAGCCACCTCAGCCTCCACTACCACACGGTTTTACACAGAGCCTTCCGAAACCAAACGAACCATGCTGGGTACCAGAAGGTACCTGCCCTTACAGGTTCTCAGCGAGCAGGGTTCAAAAAGCAATCACTGGGCTTTCCAAACGAGAGGCCCTGCAGCAAATCTGCCCAGCCTCTTGCAGACGGGTGGCTGTTGCCTGTGGTAGCATGCCACGCACTGCATCAGGGCTGGGAATGCTGCTGAGTACACCAGTAAAACCTCTCACTCCTGGTGGTCTCATTCTTGCTTCCTACGAGCTCCCTGGGCTCACGCTAGACACACGACTGCCTAAACCAGCAAGATGCAGATGTTTAAAAGACATTGGCTTTGGAATTAGCTGTGTGACAATCAGACACAGCTCCATCCCCCAAGCTAACTGGTCACCAGTAATCTGCGTTTCTGAGGCCTAGAGAGGCAATGCAAAGCTTTTTCCCCACAGCACATCGGTTGCCCGTTTAAATGTACAGAGAAGATGAGAAGGACTCACTGGAGTAGACAGAGTGTTTGGCGTGTTTCTCCTCCAGGTTATGCTGCAGGGAATTGCCTGAGGCTCAAAAGAGTATTTACAGTCCAAGGAACTTAAAACCTTCACCCAAGCATCTGAGCTAGGATCTTTGAGGAGACCTGTGGAGGGGGACAGGACAATCCTCATGTGAGGGAAAGA